TTTGTCAGCTAAGAATCGCAGAAGGTTCTACGTACCCGCGATGTCACATAAGGAGGAACCACGTCGCAGAAACTAAGAGGAAGAGGAAAAGGTCAAGCAGCAAACCCATCAATTAAACAAAAAAATACACATAAAGATACACTTCGAGTTATCCCATACCATCTACAGATACACAATACACAGCGAGCAACGGAAAGCAAAGCAAGGAATCGAGGGTGGCGCGGGGGGGTAATAAGTGAGCTGTAAGATAGATAGTAGTGGCAGTTACAAGATGCGGAGGCGGGGCGAGGCACGCCGGTGGGTCTATGTACAGGTGAGGGGGTTGTACAATATACAGCATACAATCACAGTTCGTCAGTCGAAGGTCCACAGCAGGGGGGGAAAGCAAGAGAGAGACTCCAGGTCCATCAAGCCGAATTTTAGGTCGTCGGTTTTCATCATTCTTTTTCTTCCTCATCCTCACTTCCTCCCAAAAAGCGCCAAAATAGGCCTTGACGCCTTCTTCTTAATCGTCCTCCCCTCCTCCCTCTCTTGCACCATCACACGAGCCGGGGCAGGAGCAGGAGCAGGCTCGAACGACGCCTCCAAAAAGTCCCTCCTCGCCTCCATCTCCACATCGTCCACCTCCGGGGACACCCCCCGCATCGGCAAATGCGCCACGATCGTCAGCGGCGCCGGGCGCCTCCGTGCCGGGCCCCTCAGGCGCTGGCCATGCGGGAACGCAGCGCGGACGGGTGAGGAGCGCGTGCGGACGTGAAGGGGACGTGTGGGGCGGAAGGCTCGGGTGTACGGCGAGGCGGGCGTGCGCGGCGTATGTGGTGTGCGCGGGGTGGAGGGAACGCTGAACGCGTTGAGATCGAGGAGGAAGAAGTTGGGGGAGGCGTGGAGGTGGGCGTGGTGCGCGCGGGGGCGGGAGGGGATGGTGAGGAGGGGTTCGGGGGTGGGGCGGCGTTTGGGTTGGTTCTCCTTCTGGACTGCTGCGGGTTGAGGAGCGGGTGCGGCGAATGGGACGGCGGGGAGAGGCGCGAATGGGACGCGGACGAGGGCGGCGTCTTCGTCGGCGGGTTTGATGATGTTACACGGGTCGAGCGAGGATGTGGTCGAGGCGGTGGAGGTGGCGCTGTCCCTCCTCCCCAGACCCGCAAGGCTCGCTAGAGCCAGGGCACCATCCTCCGCCTCCTCGTCCTTCCCTTCCCTGACCTCTCCACCAAATGAGACCCACTTCTCTGGTCCGCGGACTCCGGAGGCACCCTGCCCACCAAGGAGGTGCACATACTCCATCTCCTCCTCCCGGTCCCACCACACTCCGCCCTTGCCGTCCCTATACACATCACCCACGGCCGAGTCGGCGGGCTTCGTACCAGCAGGGGCTGCGGCACGCGCATGGGCCTCCATAAGCCTTTTGATGTTCGCTTCGGCGCTGCCACCGTCCGCGAACTGCATGAGGGCGATCTCCGCCGCGAGGGAGGGCGGGAGTTGCGGCCTCACTTTCTGGGGCTTCGCCTTGGTGGACGACGACGCGGGCTTGGCATACGCGTATACAGCCTTTTTGCGCTTCGCGATAGAAGCGGCGAGGATCTGCGGCGATTCAGGCTTGGTGGGGGAGCGGGGTTTGGAGGTGCGGGTGGATTTGGTCGGGGAGGCGGGGAGGGTCGCGGTGGAGCGGTTGCGGGAGCGGAGGATGGAGAGGGAGCGGAAGCGTTTGAGGGGAGGTGCACGGGTCGGCGCAGGGGGGATGGGGAAGGTGTCGGGGTTGATGGGCTTGCCGGAGGAGGATTTCATGAGGAAGGGGGAGGGTGTGCTGGGTGTTTTGGGGAGATGGACGAAGACGGAGGTGTAGCCCAGGTCGGTCAGGTCGATCGCAAACTCCTTGGTTGCGGGAGAGGGTGTGTCGAGGACCAGGAACGAGTGCGAGGTGGTACGCGGACTCGGGGTACGTGAAATGGACGGACGACGGCTAGAGACCGATGAACAGCGGGACAGAGACAGGCGGCGACGGGGAGAGTGTGGGGATCCGGGAGATCCGGGCTGGACGTGAGCAGCCCAGGAGGCGATGGCGGTAGTGCGTCTGTGGGGAAGAGTGGGCGTCGCTGGGGGAGGGTGGGAGGGTCGCTTCTTCTGGGGCGGCGGAGGGGGTTTTGACAGAAACGAGTACGCCGGGGCCGCAGCCGGGTTGTAATTAAGTGTCTGGACAGAAGACATGGCAGAAGCCGACTACACTCCATTAGCAGCGAACAATGCAAGTACGACACCGGGGCTCACCGTAAGACGCGTCAAGGAAAGAGTGTAGAAGGGAGGGAAAGCAGACGTAACAAGTCGAGGCTAGCTCTGAGATGTTGCTGAATCCCTCGCACATTCCTCCAGCTTATAATCCATCTAACGAACAATTGCCCTGCACGGCTGGACAATAGCATCTTCCAGCCCACTGTTCTCTGAGGTCCGTAGCCAAACATCTCAAAACAACCGTCGGCGCTATTGTCCCTGACAGAACAACACCTTCCTTTTCCGTCCGTCATCCTGCTCTTTGCTCTTTGCTCCTCCCGGCTCCGCTATTGTGCATAAGCCTCACTTTGCTATACCCTGGGGCCTTATGCGGCTCTATTCGCTCCTCTATTTGTTGCACGTACATTGCAACTGGCACATCTACTTTGTCGTCCCTCAAGTCTCGACGTTATGGTCCTCGGATACTTCCCATGATTAATGAAAAGTGCTCTATGTGACTGTCTGCATGTCTATGGTAGTCGAGACCCGCAAGGTCAAATTTGGCCTCAATCTGCTAATTAAGGTTATGACCCCGTACACCCCTTGGCTATGGCCACTGAGTCCGGCCACCATCGTGGTGTCAAACATAGCCTGGGGCCGCTGAGGTCGCTCCCTTCTCACCATGCATCCAAGTTCGTCCACGGCGGCGCCGTCATGAAGGACGACAATGCTCCCAGTCCGTGCCCTTCCCCACCCGATGCCTACAGCTGACCCCCTTCGCAAGTCTCTGCCTATGGCCTCCACCTCAACTCGGTCATCACCCTCATCCCTGGCGCCAGTGATCCGCGCGAACCCCACGGTCACGGCACATTCTCAGTCCCAGTCTGAGTAGTGAGCGGTCCATTATCGCGACCATATAGACCGAACTGTATGCCATTCGCGCGTCTATCAAACCTGATCTAGATTATTTCTCTGCGACCCCGCCAACTAGACGTAATATGCTCGCCTGGGCCAGCTCCATCTCCAGTCTCTCCTCCATCTCGATAGGTCTCGACGGTATGACAGCAACTTAGCATGTCTTGCGAAGAAAAATGCTGTATCTAGCATCGTTATAATATTAGAGCCGCATATACAATGACAGTGATTGGGGTCCTAATCCCAAGAAACAATGGCCAGCCGTCAAAAATGGCCACTGAGAGCGAAGTTTGACCTTGCGGGTAAAGACCACCGTACATGTCCCCGCACAATTGAGTGACCTAGGCCTACATCCAGAAATATCTCAAGTCTTCTGCCAAAATTCACGCGCGCACAACAACGAATTGGGGATGAACTCTACTGCCTCCACGCCTTCGACATGGATGATTCTTACTTCCAACAGCCTTTTGTAAGGTCTTCCATCCGGCATTTGTGGATTATCTTTCCGTCACCGGTATTTCACGTACCTATCTGGATCGTGTAAGTACTCCTCGGCAGATAATCTAACAAAACGTATAGTTCCCGTCGTACTTTGCCGGGGTCGATTGCTGCACTCCTACCTTGCCTTCCCGCCAGACGTCCGATGCCTCACATGCGAATCATTGCCTTTTGTTTTGCTTCCACGACTACGCTGCAGCGTCCTGCAGCATTATAAATTACACCGATGCGGCCTGCAGGCGCCACGCAACTGCAGCTAAAAAAGCGCTCCTGGGATCGAATAATAGTACATCTGCGAGGCCTGAGGTCCTCTAGAACCTCTAATCTCTATGATCCTCTTGCGAGAGGGTGGTGATCTGCTGCACCACATGCCCATGGAGTTTCTCGACAAGGAACACTGGACGAGACAACAGAACGAGACCTGTCCATGCTGCATCGGAACACGATGCGGCGCGCCACTTAGTCCGCGATATCTCCTCAACACTGGCGCGTCGAGTCTAAGGCCGTCACGACGTTTGTCTGAATGCGATAACATACTAGCTCCATGTTTCGAACCTATAGTCGCTAGCGAGTGTCCAATAGCTCGTTGTGGTCACCTTCTCCGTCAAGGGCATGTCCTAGTCTGAACTTTGAAGAGATTAAGTTGTGGGATTGTATTCGCTAATCCAACTCTCTTTGAAGCTTTGATATGACATGGATTTTCGCACTTTAATCAGAATGAAGGTTATCGAAGGAATCCTGTGCTTAGGTATCAGATTTTTGGATGATTTTAGATTTCTAGTTGAGGTTTAGAATATTCTGTTGATCCAAGTTTAGATTTCGTGAGATCCGTCGAGTGCGGACTTTGAATGATCTGGCCCACCTCCGCGCCATTCCGACGGCTTGCACAGCCGCCTTGACGGCCTTCACAGCCACTTGGCGGTCCTCCCAGCCAGAATCGCCTATGAAGGCAATCTCTGATTCTCATGCCATGCATTCAATACAGAGGTTGTTTGCTTCAGAGATTATACAGCAGTATATACGATAAGGAGACAATTTAGTGGTAGATATCTGCAGCAAGTATGATGTCATGTGACTGCGCAATTTGTTGGAATGCGCGGCGACATGATGTCATACATACTTCGCGCTCACATTTCGCTCTCAGCCACCGAGGGAGGGTCTTGGCATTGTCGCTGCTGCTCGGGTGATGCTCACAATACGTATGTCGCCCAGTATCCAAAACCTTACGAAACTGAACCTGAATCAAAAAATAGTTGTTTTGTTTTAGAACTCCGCTCCATGTGCTCAACCTGAACCTGACAAGCAGAAACCTTCGATCCAAATAAAGGGCGATAAATAATGTCATACTTTGAGCCGTTGAAATTCAACAAGAGTCCGAAATCCGTGGCCTGATGGTCTAGTAGTATGATTCCTTGTTAGGGCTTCCCCCCAGAAACCAATCGAGGAGGTCCTGGGTTCAATTCCCAGTCAGGCCCTGCCAGATACATCTCCCTTTTTGCCACCGATTTTAACATTGACACGAACGAAACGAACACTTCATCATGGAGCCTGGCAGCCTGCTGCGGCGCTGCCTGAACCTGGGTGGACCATCCCCATATCTCTGCTTCATATTGCTGTGTATTTATTCGTGCCATTCTGTAAACCCTAACCGAAAGCAAGCAGACACCCCTCCTACATCGATGAACCTTTCTACTGCAAGAGGAAACAACAGCAATACATGTCTAGCATGAATGGAAGGCCGGCTTCCTCTCTCCACATCGACCAATCCACTGTCTCCGGTAGGTCCGCCCTGACCCCGGCAATTTCGCGTTTTAGGAGCTGGGTTTCGAGGTCGAGCCCCTGAACTTGAGATGGCTCTAGCGACATCGTGACCTGCTGAAGTACATGCTCATGATGTTCGTCGACGATGAGCGCAGGGCGAAAAGTCTGAATTGCCAGCCGTCATATATCCGTACCGCCAGTGGGATGAGGTTGTCTTCACCATATCGACGGCTGGTTTTGGGACCCTGACTCTCTCGCGGACATCAAGAAGGAGCGAGACTTATCAGTCCTTTGGCAACTGGGAAGTACGTACTACTCGAGCGAAACGAATACTCCCAAGTACGGTGTTCCCCGTATGCTTCATATTACCGTGTTTTTGATTCGTGCTATTCTCCATATCCTATCCAGAAAGCGATCAAGCACCCCGAAGTACTTACCTCCATTCCTGTACCTCTGCTTCTTATTGCTGCGTTTTTCGATTCATGGTTCTTTTCCATATCCTACATCGATAAACCTTCCTACTGCAAGACGGAACAACAGCAAAACTATGCTAGCATAGATGGAAGGCCGACTTCATCTCTCCACATTGACCACGCGGCTCTTCCCGGTAGTTCCACCCTGCCCAGAGCACTTCCGCGTTTTACGAGCGTTTCGACGTCGAGCCCCTGAGCTTGAAAGGGCTCGAGCGACATCTTGACCTGCTGAAGCACATGCTCATGATGTTCGTCGACGGTGAGCGTAGGGCGAAAAGTCCAACTTCCTCGTGGCAACGACCTCCCCATGGTAGACTCATGGTCTCGAAGCCACCTCGAGCGTATGGCCTCGACATATGGAGGAGCCGAGAATGTCGGGAGGTTCGCTTCTGCTCGCTGAAACGTGATGATGGACAACTTAAATAGCCGAAGATGAGGAACCAGAATGGGTGCCTCATCGCCTTTCCCTGGCATTGGGACCATAAGTGCGTTCAGGAGCTCGTCATGGTCACCTTCGCACTCAAGTATCAGTCCGACCAGGAGTGGGGTGATGCGAAGGAGACGTAGCACATCATTCACGTGAATTTGCTGTTGCTGCAAAATCAGCACTCTGAGGTGCGCGGCGGTTTGTCGATAGAAGTGGAGAGGCTGCGCCGTTGGCGGGAATCCGAGGTGCACGGACTCACTTACCACGAGCAAGGAGATAAGCGACGGGCAGGTGAGGCCCGTAAATACGGTGGGGGAGGCTGGTGTAAGGAATGCTACTCCGAGATCCTGGAGGCGGTCTAATGTCACAGGCGGTAGAAGTTCTGCTGCATCTTCATCATCATCGATTTCGCCCTCCTCAGATGCATCTATGAAAAGTTCGACACAGCATTTTTGCAGTAGGGGGCATGCTCGGATGATGTCGTGCCATGCTTGCAGGGAGACCTCCTCCTGAATACAGAGGTGCGTCATTTGATCCCATGGAACGTGAAAGCGGGAGAGGTTGTCGAGGCGGAAGCTAGGAAGGCGAAGTCGGAGCATGTGAAAGTTCGCGGCGGGCCGCAAGATGAGGTGTGGCATTCTTGGCAGGTGAGGGGCTTGTTCGTGGATTTCCAAGCTGACACTTTCGAGAAGATCCATGTTTCCGGAGGGGGGAAACCAGGCGTACAATTGGCCCTCGTTGTCCACCCGCATGACGAGCTCGCGAAGATTGGAGGGCAGAGAGAAGACGACTCGCTCGTCAAACTCTTCCGGAGGAAAGTCAGCGGAAGTAAAATCCCAGTCTACTTGGAAGTAGAATGGGAGGTGCCTGCTTGAGTGTTTAAACCAGTGTGTCGTAGCTTCGAAAAAACTCCTCATGTTTGTGCCTATCGGTTCTCTGGGATATGAGGGGAGGACAAGACGATACCAGAGCCTAGGCATCTCGAGTGCTGCAATCCTCCATGCATGGCATACATGGCAGAGGAGGAGCGGTGCATCCAACGCGTCCGGGCGGGAATGATATAGGCCCCGGGGAAGGCAGAGGATAAACGTTTCCCGGAGTATGTCGAAGGGTAACTTGTTGACATGACATGGATTAGAGAGGCCTTCCATCTCGTCAGTACTGGGTATCTCAAAAAAGAACCAGGGTGTCCAACTCAGGTTGACGGTGTCCTAGAAGAGAGACAGGCTTAAATGCACAATCCCACAAGCGTCATAGATCTAGAATTTAGGTGTAAACGGCCCTCGTGGGCGCAACCTCGTGCAGGACTCAGATTGGGCTACAATGTGTTCGTTTGGATGGCTGAGCTTAACACGTGGCCTGATGGTCTAGTAGTATGATTCCTTGTTAGGGTTTCGGCTCATATCGAGGAGGTCCTGGGTTCAATTCCCAGTTAGGCCCACGACGTTTCTTTTTCAGCTCTTTCGGTATAGTTAGATACTATCATATTATTCACGGTAATATCATAATTATATCTCGCCTAAGGCTCCAACCGTACTATCTATTTACCATATATATACAGTAGGTACCGTATATGTTTACGTATATGTATAGGCCTGTCCGAAAAATTGTCCTATACAGTAGATATACAGTATAGCATATGGTTATACTGTTAATTCTTCCCGTACAGTAAATCAGTGGCTTTCCTGGGGCCTAGGTTGATTTCGCAGTGATAGGTCGCAATCGAGGAGGTGTCAGCAAATGACGAGAGAACGAGGCCTGTTTTTGGACAAGGCGTAACCAAAAACACCTCTCGGATCGGGCTTGGCCTATTTTTAAATCGTCCACAGCGAGCTACTCCAAAATTGTAACACGTTGTGCGCGTTCTTCTGACACATCTCAGTGACAAGTCTCATTCTTTGTGAGCAGAGCCTTTTAGACTGTCAGGTCAGACCCTGGACAATGCAGGGAACATGTCCCTTTCATAAGCAAGCAATTTCGAACTTACATGTCCAGGTTGATTGAAGATCGGTCGTCCTTGGGTCGTCCTCCGCATAATAATTTATTGCTCAAAATTTTGAGGTAGTTTTAGGTAGTTTTACGAGACTTTTTGGCCATACCAGCAACAACTGTATCCGTCGAGCGCACCTCCTCAAAATTACGACACACTGCATCTCAGCAGATCTCAGCAGCCCCTGGAAGGCCGAGACAATCAGTCAAGATCTGTTGTCGAAGGTAAGTATGGATTAGGTCGGGGTTATTTGATGTCAACGAGCCCAAGGTTCCGGTCGGAAAGCATGGCTCGATCTGACCCTATAACAACTGTCTACATCATACCATATAACCATATATATACTGTATATACACACTAAATAACTGTATCCGTATATCTAGGCCCTTGGTCGTATACGGATACAGTACGGTTGGAGCCTTAATCTCGCCCCGAGGTTCAAGATGATTGAAGATTTTCCAAGAAATGGCGTGTACCAGCAAAGGAAAGGTCCAGCAGAGCAAAGCCAATGCAAAAGAGCCAAAATACTAAGGTTCCCTAGTCGAGGGCAACATCCATCCCCTCAAGATCGCCCTGCTCCTCTTCCTCAGCATCATCCCCCTCCTCCGCCACCGTATCTCGGAAACTCTGCTCCAAGGCAGGAAGGTAATAGTTCACCTTCCACATATTCCCAATCGCCAGATTCGCTTGGTCGAATGCGAGCGCCACAATGGGCTCCTTAGCCCTACCGCCCTCCCCGATGGGGATCTCGCTGGGCTTTGCGATGACCGAGGGCGGCATCTTCGGGTAGCGTGCGGAAAAGTGCGTAAGGAGTATATGCTCGGCGTTCATCCTGATGAGAGCATCAAAATTAGCTTGTCGCATTGTGTGCTTGGTGGTGTGCATACCGTTTGCCGATACTGATGGCTTGTCCGAACGTGCTGTGCGCCTTCTGCGCTGCCATCTCAGTCTGGTCGTCGGCCATCGTCGCTTCGTGGATCAGGAGCGTTGCCTCCTTGCCCGCCCATACCAGGGAGTTGGTCGGTTGTGTGTCCCCAGAGAACCTAAAAGGGACTTGAGATTAACGAGCAAACGAGTTGACATGGAACTTACACGATACTCCAGCCGTCAGTGTGCTTGATGACGGCACCGTAGCACCTTGTCCTATGCAGGACATCAACAGTACTGAACCTCTCAAGGCTGAGGTCCCGGCGCATGTTGCTCGCATTGTGCTGTGATCTACAATTTGGTCCACGGTGATCAAAAGACGTTGTTATAGGGTGTGCATGTCACTTACGTCTCAAAGTCGGTCCAGGGTTCAGACCCCCCGACTTGCCACATTCCGTGTGTCTGATAGGCGCCCGTGTTCCTCCAATGAAGGGATTCGGCCATGACCGGAACGACACCACTGCCTGATGGGTCGTCCAACCCGAGGTTCTGTAGGTCCGAGAGCTCGCGAATGTAGAGGTGCACTGCACGGATGGTGACAAGGTAGAGTGGCGAGGATGGCGGGGGATTAAGCTGCAAAGAGACGAGAACCATCTCAGGAATAATAACTCGGGAGCATAGTGAAGTCGCGTACCAGTCGTCGTTTCGCGAGAATTTGCGCGAGGCCCATGTGGTGGTCCCCATGGACATGGCTGATGTAAATGCACTTCAGCTCTCTCAACATGTTCCATACATTGTCGGGCGTCTCGTTGTCTAGCCCAAACTGGCGCACGAGCTGGCCCCAGGTCCCTTCTCCTGCATCCAGCAAGATGTTGCCCCAATTAGGGATCTGTAAGAGAGTGGAGGAGACTGGAATCATGTTCAGATAGGGTCCAATCGTTAATGAGATAACGCCGA